GCGCGCGCGCGCACACGCGCGTGACCAACACGGACTTTAAACGTGAAGTTTTATAACATCCACACTGGCGAGGTGGATGCGCCCTGCGCATGTATCCAAAGCATGACTTTTGCTGTCCTGTTGTTCTTATCGGGGAGGGGTCTGTGGGACAGGGAGGGGTCTGTGGGACAGGGAGGGGTCTGTGGGTCAGGGAGGGGTCCGTGGTCTGTGGGTAAGGGAGGGGTCTGTGGGTCAGGGAGGGGTCTGTGTGTCAGGGTCGTCTGAGGAGGAAGCAGATGAAGGGAGTTGCGCACGGGAACTTTTATTCAAGATTTAAGTTTTTTTTTTATTTCAAAGGTCCTCATGGCTCAGCAGCAGAAGCATAAAAATTATTGTTAAGAAAGCTGATGATAAAGTTGAATAAAAATCCAAGTCTGATTATGAAGTGAAATTAAATATCTGACAGTGATCTTTACACAGTGTGGCTCTAATTCCTCACTTCAACATCTGTGTCGCAGTTTCCCATCTCCAAAATGAGCGTACACATGGGTCAGAGCTGGTGTGAGGCACCGCACATTTTCACGTCAAGTTTGGATTTCACAAATCACAACCTTGGCGTAAAAAGTGGCGTACGCAAGTTTCTGGGCTCAAATTGTGCGTACGCCAGTTTTATAAATCCGACTCCTGGACCGTAACATTTCAGAAGTTGGACATCGCCCTCACAACCTTTGAAGCTAACAGGCTAAAGTCTTTATTCTGGAGATGACAACGTCCACAGAAAACTCCGGGTGAAGGATCGTTAGAGACTAATCTAGAGTTATGCTGTTTGAACGATGCAAATCGAGACATTTTCAGCTAGAAGTCCAGTTTGTTTTTTGTTTAGTTTTTTTATTTTTATTTTTTATTGCCATGTGTTTGACATCGTTGGATAGCTTAGAACCAACACTTTCAGATTCTATAAATGACTCAAAACGACCTCGGGGAGACTTGTTCCTGGTTTTGCCGTAGGCAGTCACATTTTAGACAGTTCAAACTTTATTGTTTATACACTGGTCCTCATGTGGTTAAGATGTACATGAAACAAGGAACATAATCTCTAATTTAAAAGCAACATGGAGCCTTCACTGACCTGGTCTATGTTGTTGAGCCAGTCCTTGTTGGAGGCCAGCTCGGCCATGAAGGCCTGATGTTTGAGCCACTTGCTGTGTAGGTTCCTGGCTTCATCATATGAGGTGTCCTGGGCTGTCAGCATCTTCTCATTGATCCACACAGTTAGCTGAAACACAGAGATGAAGACTGAAACTCAGACCTCCTGTGAGAAAAACTCAAACTCTAAAAACTATGAAAAACTGGTCAGAAAAGTTTGGAAAGATGTCTGTGTTAAAACGCTTTGTTCTACGAAAAATTGACATTTGCTATTTGAAAAAAATATATAAAAATTTTAATAATTTGTGTGTTGTGTTTTAAAAACATTCAACAGAAAATGTAAATAAAAAACAGAGTTACGAGGTCTGGTTATTATTTTAATTCTAACACAAAGAATAATTAGAAAAGTTAACATTTTTTGCAAAAATGCAGTGTGAATGCTGAGTGTTGACTGACTTTAAATTTGTTGAAAGGTTGCGTAACAAGACAAAGGGAAGCATAAAAAGACAAAAAGACACAAGAAGACACAAATACAGAAAGTATCCTAAAAGAAATTTCAAAGAACAAAAAAATTTGCAAGGATTTGAAGGGATCTCAAAGCATTTCAATGAGAAAAACAAATATAAATCAAATTAAATGTTTAAAAAACATAAAACAAACACAAGTGACAAAAAACAAATGTCAAAATGTTCTGAAAGAGCTGAATATTTTAATACCTGAATGGCTCAAATAGTTACAGTCCAAAAATTGTACAAAAGAGACGATAAATAGGAAAACAATATTGTGAATGCTGACTCGGCATTTGCAATACTAAGCTAATATTTACGGCAAAAATGGATGCTTTCCTACGACTGCATAAACAGTGTCCTGAGTGTGAACTCACATCTTGGGTGTTTTGAAGGAAGTGCTGCAGGTCACGATTATCTCTGAGCTTTTCTGACACTTCCTCAGCTCGTCTCTTATTCTCGTCACTCCTGGAGAGCAAACACAAAGGCAAGGATACAGCTGCATATTAAAATATAGTTTCAGAGAGAGTAAATAGCTTTTCCCCTCTCCAACGAATCCTGCTGGGACATAAATCAAACTGCATACAGTACAGGAGTCCATGAGAGCTCCTCCTTCACTGTGAAGAATTTCTCTCACTCGCAGATCAATATCCATTATTGCAGGTGCCTGTCTGTCAAGCAGAGCAGTGGGAGGGAGTGGGAGTAGCTCTCATGTCTTCTCTACACACTCTTGTTAAGGCTAACAACACAGTGGAAAAACACACTTTCACTGCTGAGAGCTAAAACTCAATTAAGAAAATCATTTTTACACAAAATCAGTGTCTGTGAAGGTGTCTAAAAGTTGGTCTTTAGACAGATTAATATTCATTTCTCATTTAACTTATATTCATGCATGTAAAAATTAAAAGTTAATAATCAAATGTTTAAAAAACTACTAAACAATATCAATAGAGACATAACTGCTCAATATTGTAAAGTAATTGAATGTGTTTCTGTTCATTTGTCTGTTATCTTTGGAAAATATTCCATGAACCACTGGATGGATTTTAATTCAACCCTTATATTTAATCATAATTCGTACATATAACATTATTTCACGTTTTAAGTTCCATTCAAAATAGCAGCCACAGATAAGCAACCTTAAAAAACACAAAACTGGCTCCAGCTCGGTCAGTTTTACTGCCGTTGAGCAAAAATTTGGCGTGGAAGTAAAACTTTGAATTAAAAATAGAAGACAACTTTGCCTGACTGTTAGCAAAATATCTAATGAACCATTTGTTTGAATAAAATGTTTAGAAATGAATTACTGATATACATCTACTAATGATTAACAGTGGAAACAGGATACATCTGAGAGCAACTTTGTCATGGCAAAAGCTGTGAGCATTTATGTACATGTTATATTTTTGTTTTTTATTTTTACTAAATGTGCAGAAAAGTGCTTCTCTGAATTTATTTAGCAGATCTAATCTGTTACTTAACAGATGAAAATAAATTGTAATTTGACAAACATTAACAGATATGGATGAAACCAAATTGTTTCTCCGCACCACTGTAGTAAGAAAGATAAAATAATCAATAACCTGTCCTGGATTGAGCTCATTTTCTTCTGCACTTTGTCAGAGTACAGGTTACCGCTGTCCACCAGCCGCTGTCCGCTCTGCACAGCACCATCAACCTTGTCCTCGTTGGCCTCCATGGTACTCACAAAGTCCTCGTGCTTCTTCAAGGCTTTCTCTGCCCCAGACAAGGTGTCGGGCTTGTCTATGTGGGCCAGAGTATACTCCTGCAACAATACAATCATGAGGCTTAAAGAAAACTAACAAAAACAAGAAAAAAGAGAAGAGAAACCCATAATCTGCAGACCACATTACACGACAAACACACAATGTCAGAACTGACCAGTTAGATTGAATCTGTACTTTAGAAAAGCACCAGCATTAAAGGTGTTTTCACATCAATAGCTTGTTTACTTTGGTTCAAATCAGCTGAAGAGTTTGTTAACGTGTGGATTTTTTCTGTATTTGGATTTCTTTTTACACTGAGAAAACTGTGAGTGAACCAAAATGTGTCACAATAAACCACATGAGAATGTTCAGTTTGGTTACTGGTCAGCTGTGGCTGGGCAGAAATACTTTAATTAAATCCAGAAAGATGGTGTTGTGTTCTGAGCTAGTCAACATGGAGAATTTCTTGGTACGATTAGTGTTATCTGGGTAAAAATCTCAGGCAAAACTGTATGAGCAGAATGCCAAATGGATTTTGAGGATGTACTGAAAGTAGTATACTTTAGTTCAGAGATTCTTAACCTATGGGGCGCGGCCCACGAGCGCCACCTTGAGGGCCTCAAAAGAAAACAGTTTTTAACTTTGGGCCGCAGAGGGCCGTGGGACCGCATTGATTTTGAATAAGGTGCAATGCACTTTCTCACCACTAGTGGCAGCAGTGCGCCACTCAGATGTTTAACAACTTATTTAATATGTAGAAGAAAAACCTTAGAAACCTGCCGAGAATGGAAACGTATTTTAAATGAAAAGTAGAAGCTAAAATGAAAGTAACTTGTCAAAAAACACCAAAGTTTGTCATTAATATGAAGTGCAGCTTCTGGATCTACCATGCAATATTTTAAAAGTTCGAAACATTATCAAATGCAGCTGCAGAACTATATTTTAATTTGCACTTTAAATTAATTTTTGTAGTTTATTTTTAAAGATTTTGAATGTATTTTAAAGAAATTTTTAACTTGTCAAAAAGCTGTTGTTACTGTTATTGTTTGTCACTAATATGAAGAGCAGCTTCTGGTTACAAAAGTTTAAAAAGGCTTTATTTTCATTTGTACTTTATCAAATTTATTTTTACAGTTTTTTTATTTGAAACATTTACATTAAACATTTTTAATTTATTTATTTATGCCCACAATTTTTATTTTTTGAATTGTCTATTTTTGTTATTGTTTATATTAAAAAAATACATATTTTTGTGCTGATAAACCTGAGTGGTCTGTTGACTGACCTTTGTATTTGTTCAAATAATTGTTATGGGCAGGTTACAATATAAATTTTTGGTCTGGTTCTCAGGGGAGAACCTAGGGTTGTTGCTTGGTGCTCACTCATATTTTCCTTCACTCATTTAACACATTTATCTAGAGGGGTGTCAGGTCATCTAACGTCCCCCTGTTCTGTTTTATGACTCCTTTCAGCTGCAACGTCTCAGGACATCATGCCAAACCAGTCCAACAAGTTTTTATTTTATTCTTTTACTCTGCATAAATTTTGTAAACTACCAAAGTGGTCGAGGGGCTGGGTGTATGTCATATAAACATCACAAACTGAACATTTCATGGTTAAATGTCTTTTAGACTAACATGTCCCTCAGATGGACAACTCCTGTAGTTTGACCTTCTGGATCTTTGGCCTTGGTTAAACCAGCTTTCCACACTCCAGACCAAGCAGCAAATATCTGTCTTTTGCACAGAGCAAAATAGCTTAAAATATACAAATGTTTTATTTGTTAGACTGATTTATTTTTTAAAAGACTATTTTATTCAAAAATATTATATAATTTAGATGGTTTCAGCTCATGTAATTATTTATTCTTCGTATTTGATCGTTTAATAAATTACATTTATCCCAGATAAGCTGTGTGTGTCACAGTATGGTCCTAAATATAAACAAGTTTAGCACATCAAGAACCTTGTTTTTTTTTATAAAATTGTGAATGAAGTTTGTGGATCTTTATGATAAATTAAAATAAGATTTAAAACTCTTTCCCCAGAGAACATGGCAAATTGTTTTTATTTTTTTAATATATATAATTTTTTTGACTGGGGTGTTAAACAGAGAATCATCTTTGCTTTAATATGGGGCAAACAAATGTTCTGTTAGTTAATGTGGTTTAATTAGAAAAACTCAGTGAATCTCACAGAAAGACTCAGCCTGCGTGAGCAGCGACGTGCTCCTGTCACAGCAGTCTCTCAGGAGGAGAGTTTAGTCACTCACACAGAGTTGGACAGATCTGTTTTATAACAACATTCTGAACATATATTTAATATAAAGTTAGGTTTTACAGACCAAAGTCTCAGGTAGTTCAGGAGCAAAGTGCAGGAGGAGCGGAGGAGATGTGACTGATCGCTACAGCAGCTCGAGTCGACTCGAGCCGGTCCGCTGCTTCAACCAAACTTGCTCTCACTGAAAGTCCCGCCCTGCTCTGCTCTGACTAACGGCTCTGGACTTCGTCTGATTTGTTGAAGGCAGTGTCCGTTCAATTCTTATATCAGGGTCCCGCTTTGGCGCACCGAACAACAATCCATTCACACCAGTGCCGCTGGATTCTTTTTTTTTTAAATTTTTTTTAAGAAATCAGGTCGCGTTTGCAACCACACTGGTCGCACTCTAGAGCCCTGCTAGCTGTTGTTTTGACAGACAATCAGGTACAATCTTAGGTACGCAAGGGAGATTTATGACGTCCCATCTGGTGCGCTTTTTCCTTTTTTGACCTTGCAAGCACACCTGCGCACTGCTTATGTGCACCTCTGAATATAAAAATGTTTGTCATAATCATGTCTTGTGATTATTTGACAGGAGTTTTACTTTTAAACTGTAAGTGTATTTAATTTAGTTATGTTAGTTACGCTAGTTTAGTTATGATGTAAATACAATAAAAATAAAACTAAGATTTAGATTTAGAATAATTATCATTTTGATCCATACATTGGTAATGCCTGACTGGGCCTCGTGCCACTTTATGTTCAACAAATTGGGCCCCGAGGTCAAAAAGGTTAAGAACCCCTGCTTTAGTTTATGCTTTTCAAAGGAGATGTGCTGCCTTTAAAAGACTGATCAGGAGAAAGGACTACTGAAAACTAATGTTTATCATGTTAAACAAAAATCAGATTTGTTAAGTTTGATACGGCAACAGTCTTTCTATTAAAGTTTGTTTACTCAGAATGAAAAGTATTCTTGTCTGGTGGAAGGTTTTTTTTTGGCTCAGACTTGTTTGAAACTGCAATCAGACCACCTCTTCCAAAGGGTCTCAGTAGAGTTGTTTTTTTTTTCTGCATCAGAGTGCTATTATCGTGTTCACATTCACACAAATGAACCACACTAAGCACTGCAGGTGTGAAAACTCGTGTAGTACCTGGTTATTGAGGATGGTCTCCACAGCTTTGCCATCTCTCATGAACTGCTGGAAACCCAGACCCTGGTCCAGGAAATGTTTGCGACTGTCCCACATCTTCTGGAGCTCATACCAGCCACGGTCCAAACCCTTCAGCCTCTGCTCCAGCTGCTGGTACTGAGGATCGTCCTCTTGACCCTGTGTGACCTGAGCTCCCGTGTCCCTGACACGGTGGTAGTCCTCTTCGTGGTTGTTTATGTCTTCACGCACATTGTGGTGAAGACTCAGCAGCTCCTCTGCCTCTTGTAGAGAGGTGGGCATTTCCTCAGAAGCCACAGCTTTTTGGGTCTTGAAAAGCCAGGACTGGAAGTCGTCCATGTCTTGAAGGAAGGTCTGTAACTTACTGACCTCCCCCAAAGAGTCCTCTCTGCCTTTCAATGTCTTTTTAAGCCTGTCCCAGGCTGCGTCCAGTTCTCCTCTTCGGGCTAAGATACCTGCTGCATTCTCCGGGTGGTCCTGGGCCAGCCGGTCAGCCTCTTTCCTAAGGAAGGTAAGCTTGGCGTCGATGGCAGCTAAATCTCTCTCTATGCCAAACAGCTTCCTCTGGATGGTCATGACAGCTGCAAGGTCATTACCCAATTCCTGCGTGGACTCGATGACCCGAGTTTTTTCTTTGATCCAGGCCTCTGTCTCGTCACACTCCAGCCCATAATTGTGCAGACTAACAGCAGAATCTACTTTCTTCTTCTTCTCCTCCACCATGGCCTTGAAGGCCTCCCATCTGAAATAAATTGAAAATGTATTTTATGGCATAAAGTACATTAAAGTCATTGTTTATGTTCTCCAAGTGTTCGGGATAATACTTCATTTCAGATCTGTGTCTGTAAAATAACTAAGAGTTACAGAAACTGTGGAACACAAAGTGACAAAGATTAGTGAGGTTGAAGTTTGGAAACTTTGAAGATGGCGAAGATAGGGAAAGGAGTTGGACCTGATGATATACCAGTGGAGATGTGGAAATGTCTAGGAGAGATGGCAGTATGATTTTTGACTCAATTATTCAATTTTTGAGAGTGAGAAAATGTCTGAGGAATGTGCCGATGCCAATTTTGAAGAACAAGGGTGAAGAATAGAGTTGTACCAACTACATGGGAATTAAGTTGATGAGCCACACACTAGCTGTGTTTCCATTGCAAATGTGCGCAAAACTTATTCTGTTAATGTGGAAAAAACACAGTTTCGCAACTGTAGTGTTTCCATTAAGTAAGAAATGCTATTAAAGTCACGCGTGAATACGCTTGTTTTCGCGATAAATCATTACAAACATGGCGGCAATGGATGCAAACACATAGCATATTGCTACCACGACACTAGCGCTCATCATCAGCCATCAGAGGAGATGTCGGCGTCTTATCGAGGCTTTCCAGTGACAAGCCCCTTATACTCGGGAGTGGCTACATATGTAGCGTTTTTGGGAAAATGTAGTCGGTGAGTTTAACACTTTAATTTACTGCTTTGGTGATTTCACTACTACTTTTACTTCCAGTTATCTTCTTCTTCGTTGTCTTTTTGCCAGTAGAAACAGCCGGTTCTTGATCATGTGACTCCCGTGATGCGAAAAGTGTTTCCATTGCAGTTTTGTGAAAACCATCAATTTCGATACGGCCGAAAAAGCACCTCATCTTAGCGCAAAACTATTTTGTCGAAAAACATAATTATTTTCGAAATTGACGAGTTTCCATTGAGCAAATTTATTTTCGAAATTCCAATTTGCGCATTTTCGTGGTCAATGGAAACGCAGCTAATGAAGATCTGGGAGAGAGTTGTTGAAGCTAAACTTAGAGAAGAGACAACTATTTGTGAGCAGCAGTATGATTTCATGCCAGGAAAGAGCCTCATAGATGCCATCTGCCAAGGGAGGAGCTGTAGTTTAAATGGGATCTGGAATGTCAGAGAGCTATGTTAGACTGGTACAGGACATGAAGGAGAACAACAGGATAGTGGTGAAATGTAGAAGTGGAGGTGGGACTGCATCAAGATTCAACTCAGAGCCCCTTCTTGTTTGCTCTGCTGATGGACAAACTAACAGATGAGGTAAAGCAGGAACCTCTGCGGTCTGTGATGTTTGCAGAGAACATGGTGATCAGTGGTGAGAACAGGGTACAGCTGGAAGACGAGGTGAAGGTACGCAATTGAAAGAAGAATGAAAGTTAGGTGTTGATGTATATTGGATGTTAGAAAAGCAGCTGTGAGGAAAAAGACAAGGAAGAAGGCCAATGAGGAGATATAATGGATGTAGTCAGAGAAGACATGGAGATATGAAGACAGGATGCAGAGGACAGAGTGAGATGGAGGAGGATTTGCTGTGGTGACCCCTGAAGAGGGAACAGCCGGCAGAAAACAAGGTCAAAAAAGGCTACTTTGTTTACTATTTAATCTTTAAAGAAGCCTTAGTTGGTCATCAATATAAATGATGAATTAATTTTTAGATTTGCTTCAAGAATCAAATAAAACAGCAACACAGGAATCTTTTTCCAAGGCAGTAATAACAGCACCTTTTATTCAGACGTTCCTGACATCCCTTGATCTCTTTGGTGCGAGGGTGTCTGCTGTCCTCAAGCTGTTTCACAGCTTTGTTCACGTTGTCGACTCTCACCTGAACATTTGCCATTTCTTGAGCTAAAGTGCTTAACCTGCAAACAAGAAAAGTCTTCATAAAGATTCCAGCAGCAGAATTAACAAAGTGTATCTGTTAGTTTCTTTCAGACCCTTATTGTATGTCCAATAATGTTAATAGAGACGTGCAATCAAACTGACTGGTGCATAGTAACATTAATAGTGTTTGGCACCTGTTCTGCACCACTTCCAAATCCTCCAGCTTCTCAGGCACTTCTAAACCCACCAACCACGTCTCCTTCTGGCTCATCCAGAGCTCACAAGCATCTGTCTCACTGAAGATGGTGTACAGAGACATGACATCGTCCAGTTTCTGCTGTCTCAGGTCAGCCAGAGTCAGGAGCTCCATGTAAAGGTCCTTGATATCTTTCAGACGCCTCTGAATATCAGGGGTGTTCTGCAGCTCTTCTGGCAGAGCGTTGGCCTGTTTGGACAGTGCATCAATGGTGGCTCCATTCTTGATGGCTTCATTTTTCAGGTTGTTGTGATTTTTCAGCAGCCGTTGAGTGGTGTATTCATCATGGCCCACATCATCGCTGCTCATCTGCCTCTTGGCATCCAGCAGCCAGGCCTTCAGCTCATCAGCATCGCCCTGAAACTGGAAGAATGTCTGGGTGTCCTGCAGGTTCTGCTTTCGAAACGCAGCCAGTTCCTCCAGTTGCTGCCACTGCCTTCTGATGTCGTCCATGCACGCTTGAATTTTTGGGGAGCCAAAGTGTTTTGCCTGGATCATCTTTTCCCCCTCTGCCAGGATTTGCTCCAGATTGGCGCGACGGGCTCCGAGCTCGTCCTCAAAGGCGCTGTGTTTGCTCTGGAGGACCAGCACGCTTGTCAGATCCCTGCCGTAATCCAGGGAGGAGAAAATGTTCTCCTTCTCCCTGATCCAGCTTTCCAGCTCGGTCACCTCCCACAGGAGGTTCCAGAAGCGGCGGGACTGCTCCAAGCGAGCTCTTCGCTGTGCAGCGAGAGCACAAAGCTCCTGGTAGCACAGGTCCAGATGCTGTACCCTGTCCCGAATCACCTGAGGGTCACATGGCTTATAGCCTGGAGAGAGAGAAGAAAATACAAATCACTGAACAAATGCTGAGTATTACATCACTTTTGTAATATTATTTCAAGGATGCTGCCGTGTCAACAACTTCCTTTTATAGAGCAGAACTTACAGATCAGTTTAGAACTTACAGAGGTCTAGGAAGGACTTAAAAAAATAACTAAGTAAAAGTAAAAATACATTTTTACCTAAATCTATTAGGCTGCTGAATGGAAGAAATGATGAAAAGAATAAAATATGGAAAACACTTAATCTACCATGAATAGAGAGATGTATTATTTAGTTATTTTTTAAAATTTTTTTGTGTGTTTTCAGTTGTTTTGATTTTTGTTGTAATTTACTTTTATTTTGAACATACAGTATTTTGGGTCTCAAAAAGGGGCAGAAATTATAAGATTTATTCCTCTTCTGCTGCCTTTCATTTTATTTTGATTTTATTTTGAATGCATGTTTTTTTTTGTTTTTTGTTGTGTACATAATTGTTACAAATAAAATGAATAAAAAATAATTTATTCACACTTAAAATTAATGATTTTTCCTTTATCTTTTACTTTTTGCTGCCCTCTTCTTAGTGTTGCTGCAGATTCTTTTGTCTGTGGCTAAAACAATAAAAATAATTGAACTCTGAGAGGATGCTGGGGCTAATTGGACTCCAGGTGTTTTCTGTGGCTGGAATCTGCTTTCTTTTAAGGCAACAAAAATATCCTATTTTATTTTTCCTTCAGAGCTCAGAACTGCTGTTAGGAACAAATTTTAATCTAATAAACCATTATTTGATAATTAATTGTAAGTCAATTAATTGTTTGCATAACTAACTCTCAGAAAATAATCACTGATGTGCATCTACAATTAATTAACCTTTGGGGATTCTGAAGTTAACTCTGAGTGTAAATTTGAGCAGTTTGTAAAAATATTTCCTTTCAACAAAATTGGTGCATACTTTCAGTCAAGCGTTAAAAGTTTTTAAACTTCCAGTACGTAAAAAGGTTTTTCCAAAGAGCCTGCTTCACTTACTGTCTCCATTTGCAAACTTCAGAGCAGCAGCACTGGCACTCTGTACTCTGTCTGACTGCAGAGCGATGTCGTTCTCTAGCAGAGCATGTTTTTGCAACAAGTCTTCCACCTCCAGCAAATGTTTCCCAAAGTCCGGGGAAAGCAGTCGAGCCTGAAGAAAAAGTCATTTGATTGGCGTATGGTTTGGGTGTTTCTTTTGCTCTTAGTCTCAGTGTCTGAATGTATACCTTCATTTCATCCATCCAGCTGATGATGTGCAACATCTCCTGGAAGATCCTCTGCAGGGTCAGGTTCATGTCCAGGCGCCCCCTCCGAGCCTTCAGCAGCTCCTGTAGGTAGTCCCACAGACGGAGGATGTTGTCTTTTCGCACGTCGATCCGTTTGGCGTCGTGGTAACGCTCGGACTCCAGCTCCTTGGAGATGTTCACCAGAGCCTGGACACGCGCCTCGTATGCAGCAATGTCTGTCTCGATGGCGTCGTGCTTCTTCTTTGCTGCTTCCACGGCGGGCAGGTCATAGCCAAAATTATCCTGACGAAAAGAAGAATGAAAAGTCTTACAGCATTTTACCTTGTATCAATCTCTGTGCAGCTCATATAATACAAATGTATTTATTTTTTAATGTCTGCTTTGCTGATTTTCACCATTTCTCTGCAGAGTCAATATGGGGATTGTAAGTTTAGTACATAAATGAGATCCCATGAGATCTAACAGGGACAATGAGACTTTAGTTTAAACTTCAATAAATGCTTATTAATTAAAACACGAAATTAATTCACCCAAAATTAAAGAAATCGGGACAGACAAATCTATTTATAAATTTATTGGTGCACACCTACTAGAGACTTTTAAATATTCATGAAGTTTTAGAAAATGTTGTTTTGTCTGGTAAAATCTTCATAATCTACCTTATTAATTTAGAGTAATAAAGGCAAAATATATGGGAAAAACTAAAGATTTTATAGCACCCCACAACATAATTAAAGTATCACAGATTTAATTTCTTTGGTGTTTATTATTTTATCCAGCAGCCAACATTTGAATTAAAGATGTAAGTTTAACAAGAAGTTTCAAAATGAAAATTCATTAAATAATGTTTTAATAATTGTGATTATAATATTAACTAAAGTAATCATGTTAATTTTTTTTCCGTAATGGATGATCAATACACTGATCAGTTTGTTGAATTTTTAATTACTAATAGTTGCGTTCCTGAGGCAGAAACTGAACTCTGGTCTCATTTCTCTCAATGAGCTTTCCACATCAGAGTGTGTCGTGTTACTGCCTCTGTGATGATGTCGTGGTCTTTTCTGAGGTGGACATGTTGGAACATTTAAAAAGTGCAGATGTCAATTTACCCACCCGTATCCCTGTTCCTCAGACATTTAGTCTAAATCACACACATTTTAATTTGTGTTGGATATGAGAAGACAAAACATTCTCCATCGTTAATGCCCCCCCAAAAAACTCTGTTCTCATTAAAAGAGTTTTAATTCCTATAGAGAAAATTCTTACTGTTAGCTGCTGGGACTGAGAGCTCAGGAATAAAATATGCCCACTATCAGTACACAAGAGAAAGAGATATATCAAATAAAGAAAAAGTAACATTTAATATTGCTGTTCAGCAGCTAACCTGAGCAACTAGTCTTTGATTTTCCAAGAGCCAGGTTTCTCTCATGGCAGCCTTCCTGTCGAATCTCCGGGCCATTTGCTCGAGCTTCTCCTGCCTGATTAGCTCGTCTCTCAGGACGCGCTCCCGCTCGTGCTCCGCCCTCTCCAGACGCTCCCAGGCCTGCACACAGACGACGGGAAGGATCAAAGCTGTTGCACTCTTTGTGAGACCTGTCATCTAATATCAACAGCGAGGTGATATTGAAATATTTATTAAACTAGAGGCTCCCTTTTGCTATACCCCAGCCTGCAAGACGAGCTTAAAGACACACCTGGAGAGTGTAATACAGATGTGTGCTGACACATGAAAACCTTCATTTAGAGCACTCTGTTGACATGTCTCCAAGTCAAACTAATCCCAAACATGGAGGCTGCTCTGTGCATGAGGAGCAGACACACCTGAACATTGTTAGGAAGCTACTTTCTATGTACTGATGCTTATTTTACCTCACTAAAATAAAGATAAGTATCACCGACCACTGCAGTAGAAAGGGTGATTATGTTTTTGTTTGTGACTGTTTGTCTGAAATATCTCATAAACCACCAGACAGATTTAATAAAACCTTCAGGAAGTTATCAGCAGATAAACATTTAAATAGGGCTGCAACGATTAATCGATTAATCGACGACTAATCCATTATTAAAATAATCAATGACTAATTTAATAATCGATTAATCTTTTCTTTTTTGTTCTTTACTTTGTTTTTCTCTCCAAACTGCTTTGACACCTTCCACTGCCACATCTGCCTTTCTGTCCTTGACACACATGCACAGTAGTGGTAACTGGGGTAGGCCGTGGACGTCACAAGACATTATACAGACAGGCTCTGGTATCATGGCTACCTGCCAAAAAGTGTGGGATCATTTTAAGAAAATGAAAGAGAAACCTGTGTAATATCTGCAGAGCAGAACTTGCCTTCCACAGC